ACGAGCGTCCCTCGAAACTCGGACACTGCTCGATACTCCCCCACACACTCCCTCCAACTTCAGCACTCTCATACTCCCTCTCACATCGCGTCAAACTCACACACATTCCCGCCACACAGCGCCCTCAAACTGGACCACACTCTCACACTCCCCTCAAACTCACACCACTCTTCTCCAGCAGCGCGCTCACACACTCCCGCAAAACGCGGACGAGCTCGCCCCACACCACTCCCTCACACACTTCCTCAAACTCCCTCACACTCCCCATCACTGGTCAGACTCAACACACGCCTCAACTCCCCCACACACTTCATCAAACACACACTCCTACACTTCCACACTCCCTCACACCACTCCCTCAACTCACACACACTCTCACACTTCCCCCACACACTCCCTCAAGCTCACGCTCCCACACGACTCCACAGGACTTTGTCAAAGCTCACACACACTCCCTCGACACTCCCCGAGCGGACGGTCTTCCGTGGCAAACTCCGTCACACTCCGCAGCCACACTCAGAGTCAGTACCACACTCCCGCAAACTTGCCCACACACTTCAGCCAAACCACAGCGCGCGTACACTTCGCTCACACTCCCTCACACAGCGCCTCAAACTCATCATACACTCTCAGCACTCCCCCGAGCACTCCCTCAAGGCTCACGCTCCCCAACACTGCCTCACAACAGCTTATCAAACTCACACACAGCGGCGCCGCACTTTTTTTTTTTTTTTTTTCCTGAGCCTCTCAAAGCCTGGCTAGCTGGAAGGGCAGTACTAACTGTAGACGTCCTGTTTTACATGCAGGGAACATGAGATTTCTGCGCCCATCTAGCCAACCCCAAACGCACAGCCAATGCACAGGATTATCACGTTGAAAAGCAAAAAGGCCCTAGGGTGGTCTCCTCCGTGCCCTCATTTCAGAGTGGAAAATGGTGGGCCCAAGGAAAGCACTCACCTGCCAGCAGTGGCATAGCCCCTGCCTTAGCAGAGTCAAGGCCAGAAGCCAGGGCACCCGCCCCAGTTCAGATCTCTTCTCTCCACATCGCACTGCAGCCTCACCGGCACACAATCCCGCCTGTTCCCTGGCCTCTGGGAGAAAATGTGCCCTGAGCTCAAAAGGGCCCCTTGGGGAGGCCTCCTGAACAAATGAAACTTCTGTAGCCTTCAAACAAATTTGCTCTAGGATTAAAGCCTGCAGGCCGGGTTCTGCCTGGCCCTCAGCAGCAATTATCCTGAACAGCCTGGGACATTATTGTCCCAAGCACAAAAGAATGACCTTTTGTGTCAAGGAGAAAAACTCCCCAGGAATCATCTCCAAGTCTGCACATCTGGTCAAACACACTCCAGAGTTCTAATCCTGTTAGGGATCAGTCCTGCTAAGGCTGGGATATAACTCAGTGCCTGACATGCAGATTGTCACTTGGATTTTTAAAACTAGAGGTAAAGGTAGGTGTGGAACATTCAAGGGTGGCATTGGCTCAGACCACATAGGGAAGCATTTGTGGGAGTATGTGTGTAAATACATATAGCTTTATCATTTTTCTGTTTTTTGAACTGTATTGCTTGCAAATATAAAAGCAAAAAATACAAAAAATAAAATTCACTCATAGCTCTGCTTGCCAGAGGTAAGCAAGTATTTCCTTCTCAGGTTCTGTCATGCATACATGCATATACAATCGTGCGTGCACACACACACGCATAGGTTTTCTTTCCAGAAACTCTATGTTATACATATCATTTTATAAACAACTTTTCACACCCAGTGCTATATTGGAAAAGTGTATCCATGCTGGTAAATAGGGATTCTTCTGCAGCCGTCACTGTCATGGCTGCCTAGCAATGAATACGTCATAATTTTTCTTTAAGTAATTTCTTTACTTCCACATAAGTGATTGTGTCATTATCTACAGCATTTTTTTTTTTTTTTGGCCATGCTGCTGTGAATTTCTTTATACATCTTTTTTTTTTTTCCATTTATCTGATTGTTTTCTTGGGATAGGTCACTAACTTTGGAATTGGTGGATAAAAAGATACCCTCCTTTATGAGGCTTCAAAGCCCCTGAGAAAGGGTGTGACAAATCCACGGTCACTTGCTGAGCAGGCAGGTGCATTCTCCTCCAACTCTCATGCGCCCAGGCCACTACCAGACCATTTTACCTTTTCCAATCTGGTATTTCAACAAAGTGGTTTTTTGTTTTGTTTTGTTCAGTTTTGTTTTTATAGCCAAATGTTTGTGCCTGGTGTTCCCAGAGGCCTGGTCAGCTGCTTCTGTTGGGATGGCCAAACCCCACCTTCTGGAAGAGTCAGACTAGGGCTTCTTTTTTTATTTTTTTTGAGACAGGGTCTCACTCTGTCACTCAGGCTGGAGGGCAGTGATACGATATTGGCTCACTGCAACCTCCACCTCCCGGCTCAAAGGATTCTTGTGCCTCAGTCTCCTGAGTAGCTGGGATTACAGTCATTAGCCACCATGCCTGGCTAATTTCTGTATTTTTAGTAGAGATGGGGTTTTGCCATGTTAGCCAGGCTGGTCTCAAACTCCTGGCCTCAAGTGATCTGCCCACCTTGACCTCCCAAATTGCGAGAATTATAGGCGTGAGCCACTGCGCCCAGCCTTAAGACCAGGGCTTCTTGATAGTTTCTTGTATATTTGTGCAGCGTTCTAGAGATTGGAAAACACTTCCCCTTGTATTATCTGATTTTAAAGGGCTGAGTCGTTAAATATCTAATGGGAGAGTGCTGGCTAAATCAATTATGTTCATCCCTGCAGAGGACTCTGTGCAGCCATGGAAACCGGCATGATCAAACTAGAAATGGATTTCTACCTTATAACTAAATGCAGGGAGAACAGCATAAGTATCAGTGTGTCTGGTACAGTCCCATTCCTATTAATAATTATATGGAAATAAAAAATAATCAAGTATATATACCATGCTTTAATAGTGGTTATCTCCGTGTAAATGGGAATACGGGCATTTAAAACATCTAAACATCTTTTGATTACATTTTCTGACTTCTCGGAAATGGGCATGCATTATTTGTGGTAGGTTGAAAAATAATGAAAAAATTGAGTTACCTTTTAAACAAAATAAAAGTGAAGAGATTGAGGCATAGTGCTGTATGGTGGCTGTTAATCATTTTAATGTGATGCTACCTATCGTCAGTTGAGCCTCACAGTAGTCTTGGGGAAAACTCATCATTATTGCCAACTGAAAGTTTGGAAACTGAGGCTCAGGCCCTTCAGGCAGCCCGGGGCCCCTGGGTCATGAGAAACAGGGCAGGCAGGCATTTGAGCAGGTATGTGTGACCCCAGTGACCTTTATGCCCCAGGACAGTGTCCTTTCCATGCCCATTTGCCCTATGCCACCCCTTCTCTCACCCCTGCAGGTTGCAAAAGTGTCCACTACGATCTGGTCTTCCTCCTGGACACCTCCTCCAGCGTGGGCAAGGAGGACTTTGAGAAGGTCCGGCAGTGGGTGGCCAACCTGGTGGATACCTTCGAGGTGGGCCCCGACCGCACCCGTGTGGGGGTCGTGCGCTACAGTGACCGGCCCACCACAGCCTTCGAGTTGGGCCTCTTCGGCTCGCGGGAGGAGGTCAAGGCAGCCGCCCGGCGCCTCGCCTACCATGGGGGCAACACTAACACGGGTGACGCGCTGCGCTACATCACGGCCCTCAGCTTCTCCCCACGCGCCGGAGGCCGCCCCGGGGACCGCGCCTACAAGCAAGTGGCCATCCTGCTCACCGACGGCCGCAGCCAGGACCTGGTGCTGGACGCCGCGGCGGCCGCCCACCGCGCTGGCATCCGCATCTTCGCTGTGGGCGTGGGCGAGGCACTCAAGGAGGAGCTGGAGGAGATCGCTTCAGAGCCCAAGTCCGCCCACGTCTTCCACGTGTCCGACTTCAACGCCATCGACAAGATCCGGGGCAAGCTGCGGCGCCGTCTGTGTGAAAGTGAGTGCGCCCCGGCCCCACGCGGCCCCTGCCAAGAGTGACGCCACCTGCTGAGCCCACGGGAGGGGTCCTTGGGCAGATAGGGACCCTGCGGCCGGCTCCAGGAAGGCAGGGGAAGTAGCAGGTGCAGAGGCGGAGGGAACCCACATTCTTGGGTTTGGCCACACGGGGAACTTAGTAGCACGTGCACCCCCTGGACATCCTTGTTGTCAGGTAGATGCGATGTCTTCTTCCATCCAGAGGCAGAGGTCGCCAGTGGAGGCAAGAAGGGGTTTGAAATAAAAGAGGGCTAGGTTCTAACCACCCTGCCACCTGGGAGATACCTGGTGTCTCATCTTTACCTCTGATATGGGAACATCCTCTACTTACTGCCGGGAGCTGTGAAAGCTAGAAACTGTGCATGCAAAGTCTGGCCTGAAGCACTGGGCATATAGCAGGCTCTCCCAAGGGGCTGTGATGAGGGATCATGCAAGAAAATGGGCACATACAGGCTCCATCAGCTGTTTCCAGCAGCCCAGAGTCAGTCATTTAGACACGGTCAGGAGCTGCTTATCCCAGAGGCCAAGTGCTGTTGACCCGGTGCCCTCTGAGATAACCCAGGGCCTCTAGCTTATTTGTCTGGAATCTGTTGATTGTGGCTGGGGGTAGGGGGAGGGGAGGCAGAGAGCTGATGGTCCCCAGGGCTCTGACCTGGAAGCCTGACCTCCAGGATTTAGTGGGGGTCATTCTGAGGACAGCCCCCTCCCCAGGACAGGAAGGGTGAAGTGGGTTTCTCATGTTCCATACAGTCTCCAGCTTCTGCCTCTGCCTATTGCATTGGGGTGACATTCGTCCTTCTTGGGTCACAGTGGGTGCTGAGTAACCTTCTCCTCCAGACCTAGCAGGAACTGTGCTTTGAAGCTGGTCAGGTGGAGTGTGGAGCCTCAGCCTCTGTCTTTCTGATTACTGCAGGGGACTGAACAACCCCTGACTGGGAAGCCATAGGTTATACGTTGGCCAGGGGCAGGGAAAGCCTTGGGGGCTGGGGCAGCATGGAAGATGCTGGCGGTGTGAGCAGCTGGGTGTGACTCAGCAGGGGAGGCAGGGGCCTGATCCTGAGGCTGTGCCTGGCTTGCAGCCCAGTGAGAACACAGCTAAACCATTTCTGAAACTGGGGTGACTCTAGGCTGCTGTACCACAGTATGACCCTTTTCTCTGTGTTGGCTCTTTTAATCTCCACTTATTTCTTCAACAGATACTTATCAGATACTTATCTACTTTTTTGTGTGACCTTGTGCTGATTTTTGGGGCTACAGAAAAAGATAAGACACAGCACCCATTCTCAGGATGCTCATAGTCTAGAAAGCAGGAAAGACACATAAAAGGGAATATGGTACTGTGCAGGTAAACTTGAATAAAGGCACAGGCAGCCAGGTCCATGTGTGACTATGGTATGTGTGGGGATACGGAGAATGAGGGAGGGCTCCCTGGAGGAAGTGGTGCTTAGATTATTTAGAGCAGGAGCATGAACTGCATGGGATTGAGAAGGATGAGATGGAGTGGGATTAAGGGATGCCATGACATGGTCGGTGAACCATGATGGGCCCATGCAGCTGGGGAAAAGGAGGGGATTAGGGCTGCTGGGTGTTGCCAGATTGTCAGGGTCCCCATAAAGGGGGGCCTTGTGTGCTAAGGTGAGGACATGCTGGAGGGTTTATGCAGGGGTGCGACATGGTCAGATCTCTGTGGGGAATGGAATGTGACTGAACAGCAGGACAAAGGGAGGCCTTTCACAAGACTGCTGGAGAAATTCAGAGAACTGTGGTTCAGGAGAGATCCAGCATTGATGACTTGGCCCATGTTACAGAGGTGGAAATGGATGCCCAGAAGGCTAAGTGAAGGTAATCTACCCTAGAGTATGCAAGGCATTGTCTGTGGACTTCCCATAAGTGACTTCACTGACCCGTATCACAACCTCATAGGATAAGGATTCTGTCTTTTGTATAGATAAGAGCACACAGAATGCTGAGATCATGGAAGGCACAGCTTCAAGGCATGTTGGGCCCTCAGTTGTAGGCCCGGGAGGGGATGGGTCAGGTGGGGAAAGAGGAGTGACAGGAGACAGCCCAGGCAGGGCTGGAGCTCTGGGATTGATCCAGGTGCGTACTGGATGAATCAGAGATCTGTGCAAGTAAGATCTAGGCACAGGGTCACAGCCCCAGCTAAGAAGTAGAAATTCAATGTGGTAGCTCAGGAACAATGAATTCTACCTGTCATTCCAGAATCCAGAACCCCTTGATGCAGAGTGCTGGGAAACCAGGTTACTTCCAGATCCTTCCCACTGTTTTTTGTTTGTTTGTTTGTTTTTGCCGTCCTGAGTTTTGGTTCAGAGTGGTTCTGGATCTCAGCAGAGACAACTCTAGACTTTGAAGCTCCTTCATGCCCAGGGATGACTCTGAGAATGGCAGAGACAACCCCAGAGAGGTCAAGTCCTTGGGATGTACCGCACAGTTAATAGACACCAGGGGTGGGAACAGAACCCAGGCCTTCAGACTCCAGGCCTCTCCCCCGTGCCTCCAGAACATGGGCTTCACCATCATTGACCTTGGTAAAGCAAATTTGTTAATATTAGGACTTTCAATTGAAAGACCAGAGGTCAGGCAGCTTCAAGCGATGAAACCTCGACTCATTCATTTCACTCTCCATTCCCGGGTTCCTCTGTCTTGGTGTTAACTCTGTTCTTGGCTTGACTTATGTATCAGAATTATACTGGTAAATGGGTTTCAGTGAAGAGACTCTGATGAAGGTTTTATTTAGAGGAGGGTGAGATCAACAAGGGATACTGAGGTACGCACGAACTAGTGATGGGAGAAGCCAGCTGAGAAGGGATGGAGTGTGTCACTAGAGTCCATGAGGGCTGAGATTGGGTGGCCCTGTAGGACCCTTAGTCATGAAGGCATACAGTTCTCTTGTCAGACCACAACACACAGGCAGAGAGGGAGCAAGAAAGAAGCCCCTGCCCCTTATCTGCTCTTGCATGGCTGCTCCTTCCACTAGCCTGGCAAGCAAGGCCAAGTGATGCAGTCACAGTGGCTGGCCTCCTGGACTATGAGCAGGGCAGAGGGAGAGAATGGACATGGGAGGGCAACCTGGGGACAACATGGCAAGACACCTCTCAGTGAATCTCAGAGCCATGTCTGCCTGCAAACCCGGGAGGAGAAGAGACTATTACCCAGCAGGCCTGGCGCTCAGTCTCACTGGACTAGGGTAGGTCATGTGACTGTCCCTACATCAATCACTAGTCTGGGAGTGGAAATAGGTTGAATATTTTGGGCCTGTCACAAGACCTTGTTTAACATTTGGGAGTGGAGTTAGTTCCCAGCCCAGCTCCCTCAAGGAAAGGGATTTGATACATGAAGGAAAACCAGTGAGCTGTTACCAAGAGAAAGGGAAACCTACGCAGGCCAGCCCAGAACACACGTCCGCCCTGATCTCGTCGGGAAAAGCTCATGGATTCTGTGAAGACAGGGCTTCTCCAAAATCCTAAAATAGATGTAAGATTTAAGTGAATGCTCAGTCATCTAAAGGGAATCAGTTTTTGTAAATACAGCTGTGAGATGAAGAGGGCCTGGTCTATTCTGGCTACAAACGAAATGAAATCCCCTTACAATTGCTTCAATTAGAAACAAAGCAAAACAAAATAAAAGAGCTAATAGTAACATATTGGAAAGCAGCTAGTGAGATTGAATCAGGGAGCATGGCAGAATTTGAGCACCAGAAATCTCTTGGTACACAGAGGATGCCTGTGGGGGACTTAACAGCCTGAGGAGGAACTAGTCTCAATAGGGGCCACTTATTGATGAGCTGGAAAATGGTAGACTAAAAATATCAGGATTTTTTTTTTTGATGTAGTCATCAGTCATCATTCAGTTAGATCCAACTCATTCATTCATTCAATAATCATGCATTAAAACAGCCATTTGATTCAATCTCATTTATCCATTCCTTCATTAACAGTCATGCATTGTAGTAAACATTCACTTCATTCATTCATTCATTCATTCATTCATTCATTCATTCATTCAAGCACATTGAGTGATTCCTCTGTGCTGGACACAGGCCAGGTGCCCATGATGCAGTAGTGAATCTGGCATCCTCTTTGTCCTTGAAAGGGAAACTCTTGTCTACTTGGGGCAGCAGGAAAATGGCAGACAATTACACAACAGAGTGTGTAATTTTATATATGCATTAGTTTACTTGCCTAGTGTATCTTCACACACAAGCATATAAGCTTCACAAGGGCAAAGGCTGTTCCTTGTGGTACCTCAGTGCTTAGAGCAGAGACTAGTATGTAGGATGAGCTCCTAAATATTGTTTAAAGGAAATCAAGGGCAGTGGCCTGACAGTTAATTCTGTGCTTGCTGTTGTGATGTGCACATTAGAAGTTCATGGGCAATGATCTATTTCACTCCCCACACCACCCCCGCCAAAGAAAAGAATAAGAACATGAAGCAAATCTGAAATTATAGCCAACAATAGTGGAAATATTGAATGTGTTCACACTTTGGTGAACAGAGACAAATGGTTAGATTTTGAAGGCTGGTGCAGATTTAGAAAAGGCAGGCTGGCTGTTTTATGGTTGATGGCGCAGAGGCACACAGGGGCTGAGTGGCCTGTCCAGGATTGCAGGGGACAGGTGTGGAAGCCTTTCTTTGGTCAGAACTTACTGCCTAAGAGTGAGTGCTTTCAACCATCCTTCTGGAATCTTACTGCATATCTAATAATCAAACTACACAGTGTCTAGAACAGATGTGGCTCAGACCTGGTGGCCAGTGGCTGTTTATTGAATGAATGACTGAAACGAACTTGAAAAAAAATCATTATTCCCATTTTACAAATGAAAACAAGTATCAGCAGACTGAGGAGTGGAATAACAACAGTAACAACAGTAACACGTGGCCAGTGTTATTACAGGCACATTTCAGGCATCATCTCTGGCCTCCCTAGTGGCCTGACCTCCC